CTTCAGATTCCATGAAAAAAAAAAACCCTGGAAAATTCAAAGTTGGCTTCGAGCGCTGGCCCTTCACAGATATCCCGGTTAAAAAAAACACTTTTCCAAAACTCCTTCCTGGCTCCAGTTGTGACTCTGCTCATCAGTTTGTGTCCCTTGGGGGTGCAATCACATCTTATTAATTTGAAATCGCCCAAATAGTCATTACCCTGATAATTGTCTGCTTAGTAAATACACTCATCCCCGAGGGCTTATTGAGGCTTTATCTACTCCTGGGTGACCTGAGGGGCTATTGATTATTTGCTCGTTAGTCCTCATTAACTTTGGGGTTTTAATAAACAATTGGGAGATAATCCAGGAGCCAGCAGAAGCTTTTCCTGGGAATCATCCCTCACCTCCTTCACAGGGGATGGTCAACAAAAAAAAAAATTATGTTTGTTTGCAGGTCTTTGAGGGAGAAAAGGGAATTTTGGAGTTGATTTCTGGAGGTTTTTATCCCCTGGGCTCGTTTCTGCCTTGTGGTGTTGTCCAACAGTTTGCTCCAAGTAGGAAAATATCCTGAAAGTGGTGCCTGAGTCCCACAGTTGGAAAATTCATCTCACTTTCAATGGGATCCCTGGGTTTTCCAGGCTGGATGAGTCCAGAAAACCCTGATGTTCTGGTTCTAACAAGCTCTGCTCCAGGATTAAGGGAATATGTGATGTTGTCCAACTATTTGCTCCAAGCAGGAAAACATCCTGAAAATGGTGCCTGAGTCTCACAGTTGGAAAATTCAGCTCACTTCCAGTGGGATCCCTGAGCTTTCCAGGCTGGATGTGCCCAGAAGTCCCTGACTCCCTGTGTCTGACAAACTCTCCTGTAGGATTAGGGGAAGATGTGGTGTCATCCAACAACGTGCTCCAAGGAGGAAAACATTCTGAAAGTGGTGCCTGAATCCCACAGTTGGAAAATTCAGCTCACTTTCAGTGGGATCCCTGGGTTTTCCAGGCTGGAAGAGCCCAGAAATCCCTGATGTTCTGGTTCTAACAAGCTCTGTTTCAGGATTAAGGGAATATCAGTGCTAATGAGGCTCTTTTTTCCAGGAATGTTGTTGAAAACATGGAAAGGACACAGCACTCTGCTGGAAGCAGAGTTGTGGCCTCTCCTCTGAGCATTCCCGAGCAGGGTTTCCTACCTGGAGGAGTTCTGCATGGGAATTTTCAATCTATTCCTTCCCAAGAGGATTCAGGCACTGCTTTCAGGATGTTTTCCTGGTTGGAGCACACTGTTGGATAACACCACATATTCCCCTAATCCTACAGGAGAGCTTGTTAGAATCAGAACATCAGGGATTTCTGGGCTCTTCCAGCCTGGAAAACCCAGGGATCCTGCTGAAAGTGAGCTGAATTTTCCAACTGTGGGATTCAGGCACCACTTTCAGGATGTTTTCCTGCTTGGAGGAAATTGCGTGGGAAGTGCAGCCATGACCACCTCCCTGCTTTTCCAGAGCCTGGTGCTGCTGTGCAGAAGCTTTTGGGAGAGGATGATCCATGTGCATATGACATTGATGTGGGTTCTGTCCCTGCTCTAGGACACTTATTCCCGTATTTTCTGCACAAATCCCCTCACTCTGCGCAGCAGGAATGACTGACTCTGTCCTTACTCGCTCCTTACTCCTTGTTTATTACTTGTGGCTCTTCCCACCCAAGCAGAGACCCTGGGATGTTGTTCCCAAATGTTCCCAAGGAGGGTAATCTCTGCCTCTTCTCCCTCCTGGAAGGAGCAGAGAGAGCAGATCTTCACTCATCCAGGTGAAGATCCCTCAGGAATGTTTGTTCCACGAGGTTTTCCTCCTCTAACCCAACAGCCAAGCTGTCCCTGGGTCGCTCAAGGAAGGATGGCATTCGTTTTTTTTTTGGAGGAAAACTCTTTCTGGGCACACCAGGATAGAGGCAAATCCATCCTGGCCTCAGCTGGGACACCCTGGAATTTTTCACAGGCTGGATCCAAGCTCTCAGGGAGGCCTGGAGTGTCCCAGACACCCTTAGGGACACTTGGACTGATGGGCTTTCTTGCCCAGGGGTAGGATCCAGATTTTGGGAGGAACAGACCTTAGATCAGGGTTTTCACTCTGCAAAGAGTTGAAACCACACAAGGAAAAACCAGGAATCCACGAGGAGTCCCTGGGCTATAATGCCAGGACGTTTTACCTCTCTGCCAGCACCTTCCATGGAGTGCAAATTTTTGGGATGGGACAACGTGGATCAGACTCCCCAGTCGAGTTCCCTGAGGCATCCCAGTGTTTCACAGAACTACCCTACAAAATCCAGGCTTGGGAAGACAAGGTGGCCTCTGGAATTCCCTCTCAGGTGCCCGTCAGCCCCCCCAAATCTTATTCCCATCCACGTGTCCCCTCCTTCCGTCGCCGACAGATTTTTCCTATTCCTCCCGCAGTGGAATCCGCCTGGCAGCTCCATCCTGACCCAGGGAGGTTCCCCCTTTCCCCCTTCCCTCCCCCTTCCACCCCACTCCCCACATCCCTGAGATTTATGAGCCAGACTTGCATTATGAGGTGAGTGACTTATCGGGCTGTCAGGGCGAGCGTTTTAAGACGGAATTATATGGGAGAGGGAAAAGATTTTTACCAAATTAATGAAAAATCAATCGGGCCTCAAAAATCCATTAATGGTCATAATGCACTGGTTACAGATAGAGAGATACCAGGGAATCCAATAGTGCCTGTTAAATACCTCTCCTGGAATGGAGCGTCTGGGATATAACTCATTCATTAGGCTGCCCATGTTTACTTTTTAAAGTGACACCAAGCCCTGTCCCTGCAGGACTCCATGCAGCATTTATAAGCCCACATTCCCCCAGTGCCCATCTCTGGGGCCAGCCTGGCCTGGTTCCGAAGGAATTGATCCTCCATTCCTATTTTTTTCCCCCCTCCCTGGGACAATCCCTGCTGAGGTAGGGCCGGAATGACTCTGTTCCTATAGCTGATGGTTTCCCCTATAGCTGATGGTTTCCAGCCTTCCCTGAGCTCTGGCTTTCACCCCAAATAGCTCTCTGGAGGTCTGACCTGCAGCTCAGAGTGTCTCCTCTTCATTTTCCTTAGTCTTAGCTTAGTGCTTGGCTTAATCCCTCCCCTCATCCAACAATAACAACGTTAATCCTGGGACTGATCCTGCTCCATTCCCAGTGTCTCTGGGGAGCCTGGGAACTGCTGCTGGTGCTCTCCCACCTCCCAGCCTTTTGAGGAATGGTCAAATAAGGAAAGGCTGAGAGAACTGGGATCATTCAGCCTGGAAAAGACAAACTTCGGGGTGACCTAATTGTGGCCTTCCAGGACCTGAAGGGGGAACTTACAGGAAAGATGAGACAAAACTATTTCCAAGAGCACGTAGGACAAGGGGGAACGGCTGAAAACTGTCAGAGAGCAGGGTTAGATTGGATATTAGGAAGAAATTCTTCCCTGTGTGAGTGGTGAGGCGCTGGGATGGAATTCCCAGAGAAGCTGTACCTGCCCCTGGATCCCTGGAAGTGTCCAAGGCCAGGTTGGAGCGACCTGGGCTAGTGGGAGCTGTCCTTTCCCATAGAAGGGGGTTGGAATGAGATGATCTTCAGGCTCGCCTTCCAACCCAAACCATCCCATGACTCTATGATTCCGAGATTCCAGGATTCTATGGGCAACGTGACACCTGGTTTGAAGGGTCAACATTGGCCACGTCATGCCTGGGAGAGGATCCTCCTCCCTTTCTCCCTTCTTTCTGCACATTGGGGTTGTTGTTGCTCCTCACCCTGCCCTGCCCCACCTTTCAGACCTTTGTCCACCCCCGGGTTGTTCCAATCCTCATGGAGATGGTGGGCCTGGCACGATGGATCTCAGGTGGCTTCTGGTGGGATCCACCCTCTCCACATCTGTCCAGATGTTTCCCACAGCTGCCATTCACTGCCTGGTGGAAAATTCAGGGGAGGCAACTTGCCCAAAAAGTCAGGACCGCAATCCAAATGGGAATTGCGGGTGCCTGGAGGGCGTCAAACCTCTCTAACATGAACTTCCCATGCAGTGGTGCAGCTCCATGTCAAAGAGACTTCAAAAGAGAGCAGTAAAGACCTCGAAAGAGCAGTTCCTCCCATTCCTTTTCCATTCCTGACTCCCCAGGGAGTGTTCCATAGCACAGAGAGCTTGTGGGAAATGCGTCACACCTTGGAATGTCAGAGCAGCTCCAGGATGTTGAACGGTCTTGGAGATGAAGAGAAGGTGAATTCCTCCTGCAAAGTGCCTGATCTAGAGAGGAGACAACTCCTCTGAGAAGATCATGAGGATAAACCACTTCCACTGCCCAGCAGGTCCTGCCCAGAGGCTGGAGCGGGGTAGGAATTCTGCTTTTCCCATGAAAATGAATCTCAGCCCACCCCAGGGGTGCGAGTGCTCAGCAAAGCAAAGTCAGACAAGATGGACTCATTTTCCAAACCCAAAATGCAAATATTCCCCCTGAGGGGGGGTCTCAGTGGTTGTTCCTGTTCTGGGTGTCCTCAGAGGTCCCTGGATCCCTCCGGTACATCAGGGAACTGCCTTGGATGTGTGTGTTGTTGTTCTTCATCAAACCTGGAAAAATTCTCCTCCTCCCACTGTCAGGGAAAAGAGCAGGACTGTCAAATCTTGTTTCAGAGATTCCACGGAATCCACAGCTGGGAGGGACCCACAAATCTTGGCTCGTCCAGGAGCCAGAAGTGAGTTGTGTGTTTGGTGCCGCTCCCACCTCCCCTCCCTTCGCTTCCCAGCCCTGGCACCTGGCACTGATCCCCTCCTGAGGGGAAAAAATGGGATCAGGACCCGTGGGATGCCTGGATAGAGTCAGATCCACACATCGCCCCTGCTCAACGTCATCGGGCACCGGGGGTTTCGTTTCCTTTAAATCTTTTTTAAAAAGCAATAAAAGGCCCCCGGAACAGTCGGAGCGCCGAACATCCACCAAAGTGACAGCCTGTCAAAGCTGCCTCGCCAAGAAACCCTGGGCCCAGCAAATTTTTAAGCAGGAAAATTTATTCCCCGTGTCGCTCATCTCTCCGGGGATGAAAAATGGCCGGGGCTCCCTCATTTCGCGCGGAGTCCTGGAAAAGCGGCGCCGCGCTCAAACGAGCGGATCGGCCTCGAACAGGACCAATTCATCATCTGGAACAGGCGGAGGCGACAACCTGCCCCGAAAGAAAAAGAAGGGGAAAAAGGATTAAGTTGTGGGTTTTATCCCGGCCTAAATGATCTCGCCCATTAATTTGACACGACAAGGGCTGCCGAGCGCGACGTTTCCCTCGGCCGGGATCTAACGTGGGGCTCTCTATTAACCCGTCACCTTTGCCACTTCCAGTCCCTTCTCCAGGGGGATTTTTCCAGGGGATTTTGGTGCTAGATGCCTGCTGGCTGAGCTGAGGTGGCGTTGGATGGGTTTAGACCAGGAGAAGAAGCTCTTCTGCCCCTGGAGATGGGTTGGGAATGGATTTTGGCGGAGATGGTTTTGATAGTAATTCCAGATTTGATTTTTTTTTTTCACACTGCCAAAAATTCCAGCTGGACTTTTGTTTGACTGTCTGCACTTTGGGATGTTCACCCATCCCTGGAAGTGTCCAAGGCCGGGTTGGACTGGGTTTAGAGCAACCTGGGATAGCAGAAGTTGTCCCTGCTCATGGCAGAAGGTTGGAATTAGATGGTCTTGAAGGTTTCTTCCAAACCAAACCATTTTGTGATTCTTCCGCTGCTCTTGAGCTTGGAGGAGATGATCCTTGTAAAGGCACTTGCTGTCACAGACACCTCATCTTTCCAAGTTTGAATCCCATAGGATTAGTCCAAACAGTCCTGGATCTTCTCTCCAGGGCTGTGATCCTGCTTTTTGTCCTGTTCTCTTTCCTCAAGATCCCAGAATCACAGAGTCATTGAGGTTGGAAAAGACCTCCAAAAGACTGTGGAGTCCAATCTCTGACCTAACCCCACCTTGTCTCGCAGCCCAGAGCACTGAGTGCCACCTCCAGTCCTTCCTTGGACACCTCCAGGGATGGGGACTCCCAACTTCCCTGGGCAGCCCCTTCCAGTGCCCAATTAATCTCTCTCTAAAGAACTTCTTCTGAATGTCCAGTTCTGGGCCCCTCATGGCAAGAAGGACATTGAGGGGTTGGAGCGTGTCCAGGGAAGGGAATGGAGCTGGGGAAGGGTCTGGAGCAGCAGGAGCAGCTGAGGGAGCTGGGGGGGCTCATCCTGGAGAAAAGGAGGCTCAGGGGTGACCTTCTCACTCTCCACAACTCCCTGACAGGAGGTGGAGCCAAGTGGGAATCGGGCTCTGCTCCCACAAGGGGCGGGAGGAGAGGGAACGGCCTCAAGCTGAGTCAGGGGAGGGTCAGGTTGGACATCAGGAAGAATTTTTTTCATGGAAAGGATTGTCAGGCCTTGGAAAGGGCTGCCCAGGGAGGTTTGGAGTCCCCATCCCTGGAGGTGTCTGAGGAAGGCCTGGACACCCTCAGTGCCCTGGGCTGGGGGACAAGGTGGGGATGAGGCACAGTTTAGACTCCACAACCTTGGAGGTCTTTTCCAACTCAATAATTCCGGGATCCTGAGTTCAGCAAGGTGAACAAACAGAGAGATGGACTTTTCCAGGAGGTGACAATGACACAGCCAGCTGGTCACAGCTGCAGCCTGAAGGTCTGACCTTGGTTCTTGGGCACGGCCGTGATTGTCCCTCCTCCTGCCCCACTGGGACCTTGCCAGGCCCTCCCTCCGGGGCCCATCACGTGTGACACGAGCGTGGCCACTTGCAGGGCAGTTCCAGGGGCTGCAGGGACAGGGATCAGCTCCCTGTTTAGAAATGCTGACAGGGCAGGAGCTCAGGTCCAGCACCCTGGGCAGGGACACCTCGTGGATCTTAATCCCCTGAGAGCTTTGACTGCAAAACCGAAATCAAAACGAGACGAAATCTTCCCTTTCCTTCTTCCCTAAACCCTCTGCTCTCAAAGAGGGGTTTCAATGGTTGGGGTCAGTCCCTCTAGAAGCACGAGGAAGCTGATGGGTGTATTTTGGTCCCACCCTCACCCAACTGGTGCCTTGAGAAGGTCAGGGAGGCCTCAACGTGCCTTCCCGGCCTCAAAATCTGCTGCCCCGTCGGCATTTTTTCCTTTCCCCGACTAAAATCAACCCTCCCAGATGTGCCAGATGTTGCACAAACCCTTTGTGAGCCCATCCTTGTGCCTGGTGACAGAGTCTTGAGGGGCTGGCAGGGGGTTTGTCACCTGCAGAGCTCCGTGCAGGGGATCTGTGGTGACGTGGAGCTCCCTGTGGATGATCCCGGTGACACTTTGTCCCTCGCCCGGCTCAGCCGCTCCACGTGGTGACGTCTGTCTCCTAAGGTGCTCATCTCTCCTCTAAGGTGCTTCCAGGGAATCCCAACGACAGGTTTCCCCACTGTGCTGTCACCTGTGGGTGCAGACATATTCCCAGCACTCCAAGCACTTGGCTTTGCCGCTTCCTCGAGCCTTGGGAGACTCCAGAGAGGCACTCAGAGAGGTAGAGATGCTGCAGCCCCAACAGGGAGTCCCAGGATGGTTTGGGTTCAAAGAGAACTTAAAACCATCTCGCTCCAAAACCCTGCCATGGGCAGGGAGACCTTCCACTAGCCCAGGTTGCTCCAACCTGGCCTGGAACACTTCCAGGGCTGGGGCAGCCACAGCTTTTCTGGGAATTCCGTTCCAGCCCCTCATCACTCTTCCAGCCAAGAATTCCTTCCCAAAATCCTGTCTAACCCTCCCCTCTGGCAGTAGGAAGCCATTCCCTGTGTGCTGTCCCTCCATCCCTTATCCCAAGTCCCTCTCCAGCTCTTCTGGAGCCCCTTTAGGCCCTGGAAGGAGTTCCAAGGTCTCCCCGGAGCCTTCTCTTCTCCAGACTGGAGATTCCCAGCTCTCCCAGCCTGGCTCCAGAGCAGAGGAGCTCCAGCCCCTGGAGCATCTCCGTGGCCTCCTCTGGACTCGCTCCAACATTCCCACATCCTTGTGCTGTTGGAGAGCCCAGAGCTGGATGCTGGGATCTGCAGGGCAGAACTCCAGATCCCCCCTTCCCTTTCCCCAGGACTTTACAGCTCAAACTGATGAAGAAACTTCCATGTTTTATGGTCATTTCTTTCTCTGTCTTGGTCTCTGTGACCCCAAGGATTTCTGGGAAACGTGGCCTGGGAACACTATGGGAATTATGTGGCTGGTGGGATTGCTCTCATAGTCCTGAGAGCACAGAAACAAATCTGTTCAAAGCCCAGAACAAATAACCCACTCCAGCTTTTTATTTTAAACAAAATCTCCCCTTTAGGCTTGGCCAGACCTCTTAATTTTTTTTTTTTAAATCATAAGCTGAGCTTTTGGCAAGACAAGAGGAGGAGAGAAAAGGAGGGGGGGAAAAAAAATCAAAAGCATCTTCCTGAGGTGTTTGGGAAGCTGAGAAGTTCCCTATTACACAGGTATCAAACAGCCTTTTTTCCCCATGCAGATAAAATAATTCCCCAGATCTAATTTTAGGTGATTTGCCTTTTTTTTTTGTGTGTGTGGTAGCTTAAAGAGAAAAAAAAAAATAAAATAAAATTTAACCAGTGTCTCATGAAAGTCAAATTGAGTCGGGTCTTTTTCTTTCTTTTTTCTTTCTTTCTTTCTTTTTATTTTATTTTTTTTTTTTTTGGTCCTTTTTCAAGACGATTTCCCCCCCCTTTAGGTTTGATATATCTCGGTGTTCTCACTCAGGGAAGCCGGGAACAAAGTGTTGGGGTGCAAAGTGAGCTCCTCCTTGGAGGAGCTTTCATGCTGTGCTCAAATATGAGCAGGAAATACATATATATATATATTTATATATATATATATATGCATGTGTGTGAGCAAGAGATACTTAAGAGAGTGCTTTGCTTTTTTCCTCCAAATATTAATATTTAAGCTGACCCACCTCTCCCATCCACCTCATTACTAATTTAATCCACTTTAGAGCCGGGGGGGAAACTGAGGCAGGGCCACTCTGCTCACATTAGGAGGGATCCTGCTGGCTCAGCTCTTGGCTTTTGCACCTTCCCTCTGCTTTTTGAGGCCGGATCCAGGTCTTAAAGCCCGAGGAGGAACATCCTCGGGGGGACAAAGTTCATCCCTGGGCGGTGGCACGAGGCAGAACCGGCTCGGTGACACCGGGAGGTCCCCGTGGCTCCTCAAGCAATTTCTAAGCAATTCCCGACCAGTCAAGCATTTAAATACTTTGCAGACTCAATTAAAAGGTTTTTTTTTGGGGGGGGGAAGTCACTGGGGTTTGAGTTGTGGTTTTTTTTTTTCCCCTAAAAGCCATTTAAATACCAATAAGAAAGTCTTGATCCAGTTCTTTGTTGGAAAAGCCCGGAGAGGTCATTCCAGGAGTCATTAATCCTGCTGGACAGGAGCTTTGTTGGCAGGATTTGCCTCTCCAGCTGGGTGAGATCCCACTGTCACCAAGAGCCTGGTGGACTCAGAGCCACCTTTGGTCCCAGGCTGGAGCAGCAAACCTTGAGGTTTTAAGTCCAAATTGGGCTTATCTTTCTCTCTCCTGCTGTGAGAGACACGAGGGTGTCGTGACAATAATTCCTCCTTACTGGGTGTTTTCTCCTCTCTCCAACCACCACTGATGCCTTTGTTTGGTAAAACATGGTGATTTGGGCAAGTCTGGGCTGGTTTGAGTCTTGGTGATCTGAAAAGCCCTTCAAGGCCACCTTGGATGGGGCCTGGAGCAACCTGACCTAGTGGGAGGTGTCCCTGGATCATCCCTAGATCGTCCCGAAGATCCTTTTCAACCCAAACCATTCCATGATTCTCAGACAGGCAGGGTTTTTTCCAGTTGTTGGTTTAACTGGGCACCGTGAATTCGGATCTTCCAAGTGACTGCTTCGGTTTTCCTGTCGAATCCACGGGGGACATTTCATGGAACACAAAAACCTGGAGCGCCGCAGCTCTCAGAGGGTAGGAGGCAGGACAGACGCCTCCTGGGCTGGGGAGGGAGACAAAATCTCCCCAAATTCCTGCCAGTCTGCCCTGGTGAGCTCCTCCATCCCCCTCCTGGGATCAGTCCATGTCTGATCACTCTCCAAGTGGTGGGAAGATGCCTCAAGTCCACCTTTGCTTCCTCTCCCGGGCACCACATCTTCCACTCAGGCCCCTTTCTTGCCCTTCTGGAAGTTTTGGAGCATTTTTAGGAAGAGCAAAGCTTGTTCTCTGCCCTCCATCACCTCTGTCTTGCTCCCAGGTCCTTCCAGGCTGGTGTCCACAGCCATATCCACCATTATCGATGGGCTTGTTGGGGTCAGTTGAGTCAGAATTCACACCCAGAATAATTCCCAGGGGTTATTCCAGATGAAATCAATCCATCCATGAACGACTCGTGACCAACCAGCCCAGCCTGGGCCTCCCAAATCCCGCTTCTTCGTGATAAATTAACTTTGTCTTTTTCCTGCGTCCCATCTCAATCCCCCCTGCCCCACTTCCCTTCAAACATTCCTGTTTCCCATCCCAAGCCTCGGAAGGTGCCTCTAAGGAGCCCCTTGGGCTCCATAAGCTCTTAAGCAGCTCGGGCTGTGCCCACGTCATGGCAGCCACCGCAGAGTGGAGCGGGACAGATTTCCAGGGGCTCATCTCCCACCAGGATGCTCCAAGGCTTGGGCAGACGCTGGATTAGGGGAGTTTATTATCCTTCCTCCAGTTATAGCAACACCTAATCCAGGGATGACGCTTTTGACAGGTGGGATGAGGGGCTGCCTCCATCCCTCCTGACACTAAGGCGCTTCCAGTGGCTCTGGAGTCATCCAGACTCATCCCCCTCATCCACAGGGGATGCCACCCCAGGTTTAGCTTCCCTCTGGTGGGGTCCTCAAGCTGTTTGAGGATGGAGTGTCTCCCTCACCTTCCTGTGGAGATAACAAACACCCTCGGGGGTCTCCGGTGGCACCGGAGCGATCCCGGCAGGGACAAGCAGGAGGGATCATATCCAGGTCCCCTCATCCCTGGGGATGGTGGCTTTGGGGCACGGCAGCAGCCCTGCAGCTCCCGGGATTTTTTTTCTCCTTTGGAGCAGCACCTGACTTGGCGCTTTTGCATCTGTGCCCTAACGAGGCAGTGATTAATTGAGCCCGGGCCACGCTGGGATCTCGGGAAAAAGAAAAACCAGCACATCCCGAACCCGGCCGCGACCGCCCCGGAGCGGGGCCGGGCTCTCTCCTCTCCCCCCTCCTCCCTTTTCCACTCTGCCTTCTCTCTCCTACGGAATTAATCTCCATTGCTCCAAAGGTCTCTCTCGCACACCCCGCTGACCCCAGCTCAAATTGATTTTTTTTTCCCCTTACCCCTCACCCCTCTCTTGGTTTTCTGCCAGCAAAGCACAGAGAGGATTTTGTTTTGATTTTATTTTGATTTTGAATTTTTTTCCCGGTATTATTTTTATTTATTATTATTATTGTTATTATTAGTAGTAGTAGCAGTATTACTATTAGTATCATTTTTGAACGGGTTAAACTTCAACCTTCTGGGTTCTGGGAAAAAAACCCCAAACCCCAATAATTTAGAAGTGAAAATGAATTATATCAACACAGGAAAGTGGGGAAGCAGCCTGGGGGTGAGGGGGTCTTCTTATTGCTGTTTAAGAGGTGAGGTTGTCGAGGCAGCTGCCAGGATTTCATTTTTCTCTTCTTGTCCCAGTTCAGCAGGTTAAGGCCACTTATTTCTTCTCTTTTTCACAGACTGGGGAGAGAGGGGCTTGGAGATGTTTTGGTGGTCCTGGGTTTGGCAAAACCTTTAAATCAGAAAGGAACTGTTTACTCAGAGAGTGGGGAGGGACTGGCACAGGTTGCCCAGAAAGGTTGTGGATGGTCCATGTCTGGAATGTTCAAGGCCGGGTTGGACAGGGCTTGGAGCAACCTGGGATAGTGGAAGGTGTCTCTTCCAACCCAAACCATTCCCTGATTCTGTGCTTCACCCTCTTTGGTGGATGTGGGGTGATGACAACTGGATTTTGGGCACCGTGCCCTGAATTATCATGACACTGTTGGGAAAGGGATTCCTCTCTTCCCTAATTTCAGCTTCCCGTTAGCAAAGAGGGCTCTTCCAATGAGATCATCAGCCTGGGAGTTGGGAATCTGTGCCAGCCTTGGAGCTCCCTGGGAGATGAATCTGCCAGGACCCGGCAACGTCTGCGATCCTGGTGCCGGTCAGTTCATCATCCCAGTGGATCTTGTCTCTTCCTGCATCCCTCCTTAAGATCCCTGGGGGTTCCTTGTCATAGCAAAGAGCAAAAGAAGTGCTGCTCCAGATTTTCCTTCGACCAGAGATGCTCAGAATTTGTCATTCCAATCTTCCTGCCAACAAAAACGGG